TGATTATAACAACCACGACCGTGATTATAACAACCACGACCATGATTATAACAACCACGACCATGATAATAACAACCACGACCATGATTATAACAACCACGACCATGATTATAACAACCAGGACCATGATTATAACAACCACGACCATGATTATAACAACCACGAACATGATTATAACAACCACAACCATGATTATAACAACCACGACTATGATCGTAACAACCACGACTATGATCATAACAACCACGACCATAATTATAACAACCATGACCATGATTATAACAACCACGACCTTGATTATAATAACCACGACCATGATTATAACAATCACGCCCATGATTATAACAACCACGACTATGATCATAACAACCACGACCATGATTATAACAACCACGACTATGATCGTAACAACCACGACCATGATTATAACAACCTCGGTAAACTGTACCACCGGACTCGCCACAGGGAACGAAGGGCCCACGATCACTTGTGTTATATTATAGCACCACATCGCAGGTGCACACCACACCTACGAGAATGGAATTCCTCGACATTCTTCCGGTACACATACCTCGCTCACACTCTACTCTTGCTCGGTAGATGGGATACTTCCCAGGTAATCATACCAGTACTGGTTCCACGCCTGGTATCCTTAGCTCGCTGCACCAGTAATGTGTGGTGTCCAGCTAAACACTGCCGAGCTCTTCCAGGGCGAACCTACCCCGGGGCTAACTGACAATGAGGTCACGAAGGATGATGCATCGATCCAAGCTTCTAGAAGCTTCTACCATCAGGGAGGGTCGGTATGAGTCACTTCCTTTTGACATGAACACCTGAATCAATATCAGCAGCGTTACTGAAATAGCTGTATGGAAATTATCTCGTTAGAGCCGGGTGTCATCCTTAATTGACTTTGCAAATATCTAACAAATCTGACTAATAATTTTCATTCAAATACTTGAAAGTCTACTAGTGATAATCAGTGTATCTAGTTATCAAGAAAGAGTCATTAATTGAATAAGTAATAAGCTTCAAAGGTGATACCGTCATATTGAGACATTTGTGGTCGACACACTGTGGCCAGACTGTATAATTAACTAAAACAGCTGGGACTGAGCAGGCGAAATATTTCCTTACTAAATGCTTATTATGCTTACTACATGCTTACTAAGAAAACATCTTGGGCCCCTGCGGCTCAATGTAAAATGCATTGTGAAAACTTATTCATCCATAGTGTATAATACTCTGGTTGCTATACTGGTTACAGACTAAACTAGTCTAAACTGCTTGCACGTGTAGTAGTGTGTGTATGTGTTACTGTGTGTGTGTGTGTTACTCTGTGTGTGTGTTGCTCTGTGTGTGAGTGTTACTCTGTGAGTGTGTGTGTGTGTGTGTGTTACCCTATGTGTGTAATAATAATAATAATTAGCGGTTTATTGAAAGAGCATGGCAGCCGGAAGGCTGAAAATATACAATTACATAATTGGGAAATGGATCTCTTGATTTCCAAATAATATACAAGTAACATAAGTGATACAAATATGATATATAATAACTAGGTGGGGAGAAGCTCAAACTACAGGGTATTTCAACATAGTGACAGTGCAAAAAGTAAGATTGACTGGGAGTGAACACACTGGTTGATTATAAGTTATTGATAAATTTACAATGGTTGGGACTGGGCTGTTCTTATAGCGATCAGTATGGGCTGGATGCGGTTGTGGTGTCGAACAGCAATTCTCGGGCGAGGAATCTCAGGTGGTAGTAGGAGCCGGTGTCGAGGATGGTTCAGAAGCTTCTCACCAAATTTGCAGATGAGGTCGTGGTGATGGTCGGTGAGCGCCGAAAGGGTCAGTGTGTTGAGTGCTTCTTGACATGTGGAGTAGGAAGGGGAAACAATAATCTTGCATGCCCTCTTTTGCACTTTTCTAGGTGTTTACGTTGTGTAGCATTTAGGGAGGAAGACCAGGAAGGGGAGACATAGGTGAGCTTGGGAAGTATGAATGTTGAGTAAACATTGAGGAGCTCAGGTGCAGGAACTCCGAAGGACTTGAGTCGGCGGACGAGTTGGAGACGGAAACTGGAGGATTTGACAACTTCACTGACGTGTGGTTTACAATTTTGTTTGTTGTCTATGGTGACGCCGAGGAGCTTAGTAGAATCTACAACCTGGAGTGTGTTGGGACCTAAATTAATGGAAGGGGGTGGGACAACGCCAGAGAGGTTGATGTGCATAACCTTGGTCTTGGCATGGTCGATGGTGACGTGATTGTTGGTGATCCAGTTTTGGAGACTACAATAAATCCTGAAGGGCGGTATAGTCCGGAGCAGAATTGTTGACGCTGATCCCAATGGTGAAGTCGTCGACATATTTCCAGCGAGCAGGGGTTTCTCTTTGGGCATCATTGATAAACATAAGGAAGCATAGTGGTCCCATCTTGGTGCCTTGGGGGACGCCAAAGACGAGTGGCTGAAAGGTGGAGACAGCCCCTCGGAAGCGTACAGCTTGGCGTCGGTTAATGAGGAAGTCTGTAAGCCATGGTATAAGACTTCTTCAAAACCCGAGGTCGATAGCTTTGTTGATGATTAAATTTTAGTCGACTAGGCCGAATGACCTTAGTGAAGTCAATGAAGGCGACAGCTACAGACGTTTTTCGTTTCTCCAGATGGCGGTATATGTAGTCGAGAAAGCTGACAAGACAGTGAGTGGTGGAGGATGTTTTCATATTACTAAATTGCTGAGGATCTACGGCTCCTGCAATATCAGCATAAGCCCAGTCAAACACAAAACTTTCACAGATTAAGCTGGGTGATTGCAATGGGTCGTAGCTAATTTAAGGATTGTGGGCTGGTTGACTTGGGCACTGGTGACACATAAGAAGTCTTCCAGTCAGCTTGGCATCTGGCTTGACTGAGAGAAGCATTGATGATGGAGCAGAGGGGTTTAGTAAGCTCCCGGGAGAACTCCTTGAAGAGTCTCATGGTAAGTCAATGGGGGTGGTGGAGCGTTTTAACTTTATGTTTGTCCAGGCTTTTTGCTACTTCAAATTCTTCTACTAAGCCAATGGAAAAGGGGGCTAGTAGGTAAGCAAGGAGATTGGTTGTGTCAAGCCGGTGGAGCGTCTGGCATATAGTAGCGAAATGGTTATTTGATTGCTCAGCTGCGTCAACATTATTGAGATGGCTGAGGAAGGGGAGGGGTTGTGTCTTATTATTTTGTCCACAGAGTTCTTTAAGCTTACCATACCACAGACTGATGTTGGTCTGCTTTAGGTGTTGCAATTTGGTTGGGTAGTGAGACTTCTTTGCAGTGCGTATTTCGCGGATGACTCGGTTGTGAAGGGACCTGTAGAAGTTGTGGTCATTGAGATAAAAGGCTCTGTCTCTCTGTTGCATAAATCTTTTGATCCGAGGTGTGATCCAGGGCAAATCAGCTGGGTGAGATCTGACTGACTTCTCTGGGAAGAAGTGGTGGTGAGCTTCCGTGGTGGTGTTGGTATAATTTATCCATTTGGTGTCCACGTCATCCACATTAAGTACTTCAGTCTAGGGATGGTGAACTATCCACTGCCCGAAGAGACGCACTGCAGAGTCAGTAATCGGCCTGTAGGTCTTGATGTAGGATCTCTGTACTTGAGTGGGAGTGGCAGCTGGGGACCAGAGCACTGATAGGTGTGTGCTACACCCGATAGGAGGCATTGGTTGAGGTGGTTGGTACTGGTCCGCTGAGTAGGTTAAGATAAGGTCAAGGGTATTTTGACCGTGTGTGGGGAAGTTCACAACTTGTGATAGTGACAGCTGGTCCTGGATATCAGTGGTGTCAATTTCATTATATTCCCTGCAAAATACTAACTTGGCACATGGGTACCTAACTCTTAGGTAGTCTGAGGTGGTAATGAGATGATTGATAAGAGTGTCTCTGGTGGGTGAGCGAGGCAGATGGTATGACACACAGATTATGAAGGAAGCAGTGTGGCGCGGGTGGGCAACACGTATCCATAATGCTTCCACATCTGCTGGGACTTGAACATCCAGGCGTGAAGGGCGTAGGTCATCTTGACAGAAGAGGGCAAAGCCCCCTCCACGTCCATGTGAACGAAGGTGATGAAAGAGTTGATATCCCTCAATATGACACGTTTCAGGCACAATTTGCCAAGCCTCACATGTGGCAATGATGCTCGCGGCGGCTGACCTGACTGTGGTTGCCAGCTCGTCAAACTTGTTAGCTAGGGAAGTGACGTTGGAGAGCAGTAAAGACGGGAGATCATACCAAATCCGCGGAACTTCAGTGTAATGGTACGGTCTGTCAGGGGTGGGTTTCTCTGGTTTCCTAGTGGAGGTTATGGTCCTAATGGGTTTATGTTTATGACGCCCTTGTCTACGGCTGCGAGCGTGGAATATGTTCAGTGACTTGAGTCGCGTGATAACACTGCCATCAGGATAACCGTTCCCACGCTTTGGAAGGTGCAGAGAGCGTCGGGAGTAAGTGATTGGTGCCCATCTGTTGATATCTGTTGGTGTGGACGGACGGAAGTGTTTGTCCCCGGTGGCCATAAACTCACTGGCAACACTTTGAGGGCCACTGACACTGGTAGACATTGTTAATATTTGTCAGTCGTAAACAGTATCCACGATATATGTAAACACCGCAGTGGTCCTTCTCACTGGCACTTTGAAGGTGACCGACAAAGTGCCCACTGTCTGGTATTACACTGCTGTGTTTTTGTGCTTCTTCTTGGGATGCACTATCGGAACACTGTTTGGTAATCAATCATTGCACTGATCACTTGAATGTTTTGCTGAATAAATCCCGGTGTAGTAAGGCTGGTAGGGTGTTGGGATATAGCAGAATCAAACAGACTCGGCGTGGCTGCCAAAACCCGGAGCGCCTTCAGGGCACGACTTGTCTCACTGATGGTTAACAAATGTGTGTGTGTGTGTGTGTGTGTGTGTGTGTGTGTGTGTTGCAGTAAGGTCTCACAACTTGCCATCATCTTCAGGTATCAACAGAAGTGTGGTGGCAACTGGACGATGTTTTCCTCAGCCCCGGTACCTGCCTCTCCCCCGTGACAACCTGTTCAGTGAGTACCGCACGTGTCTTCACTCACTGTACTCATGTGTCATTTACTGTAGTTACATGTCACTCGCTGTTTTCATGTGTGACTCAGTGTAGTTATGTGTGATTCAGTATACAGGTAGTTATGTGTTACTCACTGCACTTATGTATCACTCACTGTTACTATGTGTCATTCTCTGTACTAATGAGTTACTGTAATCATGTCACTCACTATATTTATGCGCCACTCACTGTACTTATGTCACTCACTGTATTCATGTGTCAATCACTGTACTTATGTCACTCACTGTATTCACATACCACTCTCTGTACTCTTGCGTCACTCATTGTACTCATATGTCTTTCACTGTACTCATTCGTCAACCAGCACTAAGGATTTCTCACACTCTATCTATCTATCTATCTATCTATCTATCTATCTATCTATCTATCTATCTATCTATCTATCACTCAAGAGGTTAAGCCGGAATGAGAAAGACGGTAGGGAGAAGAACGAGATCTTGGGGCACTCCAGTAGTGATGGAGTAGAGGAGAACTTCACTCCTCAACTGATGGTAAGTATACGAAGGGAGACACTCTGGTAGTGAATGGAAGCATTCGTCCATCTCCATAAGAGGTTAACCTGAGCTCTCTATCACACAGACTGCTCGCTGCCCTACGTCACCATGAACTGGGGAGCCCGAACAGGAAACAAGATTTGCCAGTACATGTCCCTGTCTTTGTTGAGGAAGGTGTTTGGCGTGCGGGTAAGCATGACTGTTTTAGCTCCAAAAGAACTTACCTACAACAGTGAACCAGTACGAGCTAGCTTTTGCATTGGATAACTACATGTGTTCCCCCCATCTCTTCCTCACAGGTGTCTCTACTTAATAACTTGCAGAAACCATTGGAAAAAATCTTTTTTAAGTTGGATTTGCCTGGTGAAGATCCTGAATGTTTCCCAAGATACACTAGAAGCATTCGCTTCACTGATCTTTACCGAAAACTTGTTGCCGAGAGCCGTAAAGTAGTGCTATCTGACGAACAACCAACTCACTACCCCCTCAAAGAAACTGTTTATGTGAAGGACAACCCCTGTCCACCCGACATGCTGTTCCCATTCAGAGATCAGTTTCGTCAAGAGTTGGTCTTCAAGAAGGAGTTAACTGACAAGGCCAGACAAAAGATTGATGAGGGAATTAAGGCACTTGGTATTTATACCAACAAAAACATCACCAAAGTCACCGTTCACGTCCGTAGAACAGATTATATTGGATATATAAAATCGAGGTTCCAGCTCACTCCGCTGGACAAACTTTATTTTCAACGAGCGTTTGATTTCTTCAGGAAAAAGTAAGTGAAATTATTTAATTCTAGTTTAAATAACAATATGTGTGTAAACCTTTGCCTGACATAATTAATCTCACAAACAACAAAACACAAACAAAATACAAAAGATATTTACCTTAGGCTTCACCTCCTAAGTTCTCACTTGTATATGAACAACACCTCATCACGTTAGCCATCTATATTATCTATCTGTCTACTTACTCACTTTCTAACACAATAAGGAAGAAGACAAGGACAAAAACACGCTACTGTCTCTAAAACAAGTAAAATAATCAAAGATAAACATAAGACACTTAGTGTATAAGAACATAAGAACATAAGAATGGAGGAAACTGCAGCCGGCCTATTGGCCCATACTGGGCAGTCCCGTTTACACCCAACCCCTATTGCTCATATGAGCATCCAACCTATGTTTGAAGCTATCCAGCGTATTCGAGTCAATGATGATATTTGGCAACTTGTTCCATTCATCCACTACTCTGTTTCCAAACCAGTGTTTACCTATTTCACCCCTAAATCTAAATTTGTCTAATTTAAAACCATTGTTACGAGTTCGCTCCTGGTTGGATAGTTTGAGTACCTTTGTAATGTCCCCTTTGTTTAGCCCTGCCTTCCACTTATACACCTCTATCAGATCGCCCCTCGCTCTACGTCTCTCAAAGGAGTGCAAATTAAGATGCTTTAACCTGTCTCTACACTCAAGGTTCCTAATGCCCGGGATTAGTCTTGTCATTCTCCTCTGAATTCTTTCCAAGGATTCTATATCCATTCTGTAATACGGTGACCAGAACTGAACTGCGTAATCCAGGTGTGGTCTCACAAGAGCAAGATACAGTTTTAGGATGACCTCGCTAGTCTTGTAACTAACACTCCTTTGTATGAACCCAAGTACTTTATTAGCCTTGTTACGAGCAAAAACACATTGTTTACTTGGCTTAAGGTTCCTACTTATCATTACTCCTAAATCTCTCTCGCAGTCGGATTTCTCTATGGCATCGTTGTTCATCTGGTATCTGGTTTCCCTGTTTACATCTCCTATACTGAGTACTTTACATTTGTCAACGTTGAATTTCATCTGCCATTTTTCAGACCATGCGAAAAATTTGTTTAGATCTTCCTGTAGTTTTGCCGAGTCCTCGTCAGATTTGATAACACGTCCTATTTTAGTGTCATCAGCAAATTTACTTATGTTGATGTCAATGCCGATATCTATGTCGTTTATGTATATAATAAATAATATTGGTCCAAGTACTGAGCCTTGGGGAACTCCACTTGTGACGTTGATCCAATGGGACTTAGTGCCGTTAATGCTCACTCTCTGTTTCCTGTCCTGTAACCACGCCCTAATCCATTTAAGGATGTCACCTTTGATGCCATGAGCTTCTACCTTTCTAATTAGTCTTTCGTGGGGGACTCTGTCGAAGGCTTTGCTAAGAGACGTAAACCATCAATAACTTTATAGTGTGTATAAAATCTTCCTGGTAGGCCAGACAGGCTATGTACAGTAAACACCGTTATCTTACGTTTTCCCACAGAGTGCCTTACCCAGTCTTCCTGGTGACCAGTGACGACCCCAAGTGGTGTAAGGAAAACCTTATCGACAAAGATGTTGCTTTTGTTGGTGAGTAATAGAGGGGAAGTGTAGTGATGGTGGTGGTGGTGGTGGTGGTGGTGATGGTGGTGTTGGTGGTAGAGATGATAATAGTGGTGGTGGTGGTTGAGATGATAATAGTGGTGTTGGTGATGGTGGTGGTGGTGGTGGTGATGGTGGTGTTGGTGGTAGAGATGATAATAGTGGTGGTGGTGGTTGAGATGATAATAGTGGTGTTGGTGATGGTGGTGGTGGTGATTTGGCACCGGTGGTGGTGGTGTGCTGGCAACGAGGATAGTGGTGGTGGTGGTGGTGGTGGTGGTTGTGTGGTGGTGTTGGTGATGGTGATGGTGTTTTTGGTGTGGTGGTGTTTGTGGTGTGCTGGTGGTGGTGCTTGTGATGGTGGCGGTGTGGTGGTGATGGTGGTGTTGTGGTGGTGATGATGGTTGTGGTGGTAATGTGGTTGTGTGGCAACGGTGGTGGTAGTGGTGGTGGAGACAATAGTGGTGGTGGAGACAATGGTGGTGGTAGTAGTGGTGATGGCTCAGGTGTGAAGGTGGTGTTTTTAGTGTGGTGGTTGTGGTGGTGTGTTTGTGTTTTTGGTGTGGTGGTGTTGGATATGTGGTGATGTTGGTGGTGTAGTGTTGGTGTTGGTGGTGGTGATGGTGTTGGTGGTGTGGTGGTGTTTTAGGTGCGTTGGTGGTAGTGGTGCTTGTGATGGTGGTGGCGTGATGGTGATGGTGGTGGTGGTGGTGGTGGTCGTGGTGATGATGGTGGTGATGGTGGATATAATAATAATAATAATAATAATAATAATAATAATTAACGGTTTATTGAAAGAGCTTGGCAGCCAGAAGGCTGAAAATATACAGTTACATATTTGGGGAATGGGTTACGAATTACAAATAATATACAAGTAACATAAGTGACACAAATAAGACATATAATAACTAGATGGGGAAAAGCTCAAACTACAGTTCATTTCAACATAGTGATAGTGTAAGGAGCAGTGTTTACTGGGAGTGAATACACTGATTTATTACAAGTTATTGATAATTTTTACAATGGTTGGGACTGGGCTGTTCTTATAGCGATCAGTTCGTGCACGTATGGGCTGGATGCGGTTGTGGTGTCGAACAGCAATTCTCGGACAAGGGATCTCAGGTGGTAGTAGGAGCCGGTGTCGGGGATGGTGTAGAAGCTTCTTACCAAATTTGCAGATGAGGTCGTGGTGATGGTCAGTGAGAGTCGAAAGGGTCAGTGTGTTGAGCGCTTCTTGATATGTGGAGTAGGAAGGGGAGAGAATAATCTTGCATGCCCTCTTTTGCACTTTTTCTAGGTGTTTACGTTGTGTGGCATTTAGGGAGGAAGACCAGGTGGGGGAGGCATAGGTGAGCTTGGGAAGTATGAATGGTGGTAGAGTGATGGTAATTGTAATGGTGGAGGTGGTGATGGTGATGATGGTGGTGTGTGTGTGTGCAATAATAATAATAATAAACGGTTTATTGAAAAAGTTTGCAGCCCGAAGGCTGAAAATATACATTATACACAAATGACTTATTACATACATTGGTGGTTTAACAAAAGCCTTCATTAGAGAAAGGTGAAGGAACATACAGTGAACATACAGATTAATGTTTACACACGTAGATCATGTAAGTTGAGGTGTTGAACAGCAGACACGTAGTGTAGTAACTCCCTCACAGATGGCGTTATGAGGGGCATCACGTGGAGTACTAGTTCCCTCACAGGTGGTGTTATGAGGGGCTTGACGTGGTGTAGTAATTCCCTCACAGATGGTGTTACGAGGGGCCTGATGATGTAGTAGTTACCTCACAGATGGTGTATGAGGGGCCTGGTGTGGTGTAGTAATTCCCTCACAGATGGTGTATGAGGGGCCTGATGTGGTGTAGTAATTCCCTCACAGATGGTGCATGAGGGGTCTGATGTGGTGTAGTAATTCCCTCACAGATGGTGTTATGAGGGGCATCACATGGCGCAGTAATTCCCTCACAGATGGTGTTATGAGGAACTTCACATGATGCTGTAGCAACTCATTCACTTCGTGGTGTCGTAGCATCATGGGGACACCACGTGGTCTGAGGTGTGGTCCCAGGCCTCTCTATCGTGGAGTCTCAGGGGAATTATCACTGGGTTCCTGGGACCTCACTGTGTGAAGGTTAGCTTAGGTAAGACTCAACTGCCGAGTTGTTTTTTACTGACTTAAGCACTGTTCACCACTATTCAACACTGGTTCCATTCCTTTCCCAAATGAAATAGTAACTTCTGGCGAGAACCTGTTGTTATTCCGGTGGGGAGGAGGGTTCAGGGGAGGGAGTTGGTATGGGCCAACATAATAGTTGACGTGGCTGCTGCTGAGCAGCGCCAGGTGCGTCTGACCCGTCTTGACCCGTCGGTGGTCAAGGATGAAGTGTGTGTGTGTGTGCACAGGGTGGTGTAATGTGTCTAGTGCGGCAGCATTATGTTAGTGTTAAGGTGCAAGCGCTACTTGCTTCCTCTCGCTTTCAGCTACCGTCGCTGGCTAGCCCTGGGGGAGAACAGGGAAGCAACTTGCATAAGTCTTCCCCTGCCAGTACACAGCCTCTTCACCTTCAAGACTACTATTGTGCCCCCTTGTGGCAACACACGGTAACTGGGTGCCCCGAGGGCCCAGGCTAGACCATCAGGGGATCTCGGAGTAGCAGTGGGCCTCAGAAGGATGGCGCATAGGCCCACTGGCATGTAAATACGTCATGGCACCTACCAACCACTGCCCCGCTGCCTTGCGGATAAACCATCGTAGGTATAAGGCTACAGGAATAAACCCCAAACAAAAAAATCTGCGGTGGAGCCCTGCATCAGGCAGACTTGCTTACAGATCCCCAACAAAACCCCAATGGTGGTACACGCAGAAGAGGTGACCAACATGGGAACCCAACGACTACACCGGCGGAAGAAAGCAATGCATGATGGACAGGCTACTATGGCAAAACTAAACAAGCTGGGCTATCGGTAGTCCATTGCAACTCTCCCTCTCACCAGTCGTTGCAACACTTGCACCACTGGATCAGGAAAAGGGAGTGCCAAGATGTGTGGTTGCAGTCTGGGCTCCTGCCTCACCACATAAATCAACTCACGTGCTGCCATCATCCAGCTCATCATACTCCTCATCATCATCAAACCCTTATACCCCAAAAGTCCTATGGCGATGGATGAGTGGCGACGGGGACAGGCAGAGATGACTGCCGGGAGTCTCTACTCACAACTCTGTACATGGGTGGCACAGATAAGATGGTCGCTTATGCACTGGGCTCTAGGCAGCAGTGCAATCCGGCCCTGTCCGTGCGACTGATCAACCCTGTCGAGGATCCACTCTGCTCACCCCACATGTTGAGGGGGCTAGAAAAATTGCCTTAAACAACGCCTGCCTAAAGAACCAACCTGACTGGGCAACCTCACCCAGTAAGGTTATCCTTATGCGGTCGAAAACAATATATAATTACAAATCAAAATAAAAACAAACTATACAATCTCTTATGGTCGCTGCGTGGAATGTCAGGACCCTTCTGGATACTGGCACAAATGCACGTCCTGAAAGAAGAACTGCCCTTGTGGCAAAAGAGCTGGTTAGATATAACATAGCAGCCAATAGTGAGTCCCGGCTCCCACCAATGCATCCTGCACAGGCTAACTGAAATGCCTGTTGGGATCAAAGAGCGCCTCATGACGCTCAGAGTCTCACTGAATGACTCATGTCATGCCTTTTCCATCAGTGCATACGCCCCAACACTGGATACAGAGAAGATAAGGTTGTGCTCCTTGGTGGCTACAATACCACAGTTGGTAGAGATGCTGAAATTTGGCAGGGAATTATAGGGAGAAATGGACTAGGCAAGTGTAATCCCAACGGCCTACTCCTCATCAAGTGTGCTGCACACAACCTCACTCTCACCAATACCTTGTTTAGGCAGGCCGACAAGTTCAAGGATTCGTTGTAACACCCAAGATCCAAACACTAGCATTTCATTGACTACATCATTGTCACAGAAAGTGATCTCTGAGATATCCTCAACACCTGAGCAATGCGCAGGTCAGACCACTGCAACACTGATCATCCGCTCGTCAGCTCCAAGCTCTCACTTCACATCGCCCAAAACGGCGAAGGCAACAAGCCTCCAGAAGAGGTTTGAACACTAAGCGTCTGGAGGATCCATCGGTAGCACATGATTTCAGAGAGCAGCTCGAACATGGGCTGATAAGCAACCCAACAACAAACAACCCAAATCCCAGTGCCGAATGGGGTATTCTCGACACAGCCACGACAAAAACCTGCAGAGAGACCCTTGGCCAGGTCGAAAGTGTATGTATATTATGTATGCTGTATGTATATTATGTATGCTGTATGTATATTATGTATGTATATTATGTATGTGCTCCATTTATATACACTATTTATTCAGTCTAGCTAGCAGCATGTGGCAATGTATTTACCATGTCCCACACGCTTAATTAATGTGCCTGGCAACATATGGGAGCTGTTAATGTATCACTTGCCACATGTCGCCTAGAGGCTAGTTGACCCCCATACAGAGTAAGGAGCACCACCTCCCTTGTGTACATATCTGTTTATCCAGTAAATAGAACCTACGAAAACTCTACAGGTGTTTGTGTTCGCTCCTGTAGATAGAACTTGAGACCCAGAACACATGCAGAAAGAATACACCAGGACTGCTTTAACTGACTGGCCGAACAACCCTTAGTCTAGGACCAAAGCTGATACCTTCCTCAAGAAGAAAGAGGCGGCCCAGCGCGAACTTTGCAAACTAAGGAACGACTGGTTTGAAAATAAAGCATGTGAAATGCAAAAACTTGCAGATTAACAAAAGATGTGCGAATTTTTCAATTCCACTAAAACATTTTATGGGCCAATTACTCATGGCAGAGCCCCCCTCCGCTCATCTGACGGTAACTCCCTTATTAACTAATGAAGACAAAGAAGGTATCCGACAGCGCTAGAAAGAGCACTACCA